ATGGCACATACGATAGCATTCACTGGGAACCCGACGTCGAATGGCAGCTGACTTTCCAAGAACTTGATTTGTTCTTCCGACAGCGTAATGTCCAACGCTTCAAGGTTACCCTTTAAATGCTCGACCTTTCTACATCCAATGATCGGGAAGACGTGAGTCGCCTTTTGCATGAGGTATGCAATCGCAACTGTTGCAGACATTCGTCAATATACACTGATAGTCGAATCATCGAGCCTGACACACCAGAAGTGATACTCTTCGCGCTGACCTCATTGGCAACCTTCTCTAGTGCTCTGCTCATCTTAACCTCATCCTCATTCCTCCTCCAATCCGTACCCATATCTGTCCTCCCCTTCTCACCACTCTCAGCTCTTCGTTGTTCCTCTGCATCCGTACGAAGTTTTCCACCAGCAACGACACCAAAAGGTGCCAACGCCAAGCCGAACGAGCGAGCCATCGGAATGATGTCCCGTTCAAAGGAGCGTTCCATGACGTTCCACTTGCCTTGATAGATCACAAACGGTGTTTTTCCGTAGGCTTTTGCATACGTGTTAGCTTGTGCTACAACCCAGGCAGGGGTGTCTGAGATACCCTGATGATAGGTGTTAGTTTGAGCTCAAGCAGCTGGTGAAATGTCGGACATACAAGGTAAAGCACTTTGCGGCTCAAGACCAAGGTGTGTAGTGCGTCCATAACTTCCTCGACGGAGGTATCATAGTCCCAAAAATGAACATAAAGGAGATCTATGTATGAGGTGCGAAGTTTCTTCAAGCTCGCTTCCACGCTAAGGTGTAGACTCTTTGCATTGTTGCCCGTGTAGTTCACTTTTTGCACCACCGTAGGGTCGATCATTTTGTAGAGCAAGCTGTACTAAAAACAGGTTGATACTTGTAAAAATATGTCATAGTGGGGAATGCAATTCACCTTAGTAGCAATAAACAGTTGGTCTCTGATGCCTCTCTTCTCCGCCCACTCCCCGATGAACTCTTCAGACGACTCTTCTTGACTTTAATAACAACGTGAGCTGATTGTATAATATTGAAAAGGAATTATACTTACTAAGTGTTGGCAGTATCGATGAAATTACCACCCATATCAAAGTACGCGTCTAGCAGCTTGAAACTAGAGTCTTTGTTCATGGCTCCCCTGAAATCTCCCCATTTGTCGCCAATACTTGCACCTCCAAGAGCTAATGGCGAGACGTGCACGCCAGCGTGAGGCGAAAGAACACGGTAGACACCGAGCTTAGTAGGTGGTGCAGGTGCAGGTGTGAACGCAGCCATTTCAGATAAAGACTCGCAGGAACGTTTGGGTCGAGATCTCTGAGCCTTTTATACTAGTCTAGCGGTAATTATCCGTCGTGTTCCCATGCTCCTTGCTATCGCAAAGGTTGGGCTTTGGCAGGCATTGAATTTGCATCTTCGTAGGCGAATTTTGCGTCGGATGTTGTCCGTTTACAAGAGCCAAATGACGAGGCAAATGTATTTGTATCGTCAGAAGCAATGAATCAACGGCTGGTTTCCGAGTATTGGCATTGACACAAAGTTGCCGCGAGCTTCTTGCGAGTCAAGTCAAGAGGTCCCGGTCAGGTGTCATTTGCTTGTGATATATTGCAACTTGAAGCGTTGAACGTTCAGGAGATATACATCTTGCAAGAGATTTAACTTGCTGGAGAGAAAAATTGTGTTCAGAGGTTTTATGTATCAGGATGAAAGGTCTCACCTTTGGTCAACGTTTCAACCAGGGTTGAGGACAACTTGGGAGTTTCGGGAAAAGATAAAAAGACGCACGTGATAAACTTGCAAAGGCCTAAGGGGATGACGTCATAGTTTCGCTCGCGCTTAGCAGTGAGCACCCTTTCAACTTTGATGCGAGAATATTTCTCTTTGATTCGGTGAGTCCATATACTTAGCAGGATTTCCTTTTCAAAAGGTGCATTTACACAGACTTCAAGTGTCGACACCGAGGCTCTCACCCTGGATCAATATTGCCCGAATAATCATCTGTGCCATGTCGGTCACTCTCAATTAGCGTATTGGAATCAATCTATGAATTGAAGCAAATGCTAACGAGGAGCTCAAACAGATAACAGCTCGCGGTTACGAAAAGACTAAGCTTACGGACTCGTGGTATGTTTAAACATACTTTTCTACTGACTCCAATAGACGACCCAAACGTCCATCCTGCCATCCCGCGATCTCTTTCCATTCCTCCGAATCATTTCCGATCCCCAAGCTGATCTCCCACAACAGACCTGCCAAAGCAAAGTCTGCAAAAATAGGTTTATCGCCTGTGACGTACACCTCTCCATGGCCAGCTTTGACACTGTCAAACGCCTGCTGTACTTTATCCCAAACAGCCGCTTTCTCTTCGTCCGGAGGTCTAGTAGGAACACCGTAGAGAGCCTTGTAGCTCTCCTTCACTTCTGGTGACCCGATATCGTGCATCCGGGGCTCCAGAAACGGAAGGATCTGGAATAACTTGTCAACGGCCCAGTCACTATAGGCTGCTTGCAAAGCACGGGTTCCAGGGGGCACCACACGAGGTGTGTCGGGATAGGTCTCGTCAAGATACTCTGCAATGACGAGTGAGTCGGAAACGACTTTCCCTGTGGTAGAGTCGCGTATGAAAGGAACCGTATATTGGGGGTCCCCGTTAGCCTTCTTGGAAGTTGGAGAAGCACCGACAGACTTTGCAGTGGGCTCGAGAGTGAGGAAGTCGACAAGTGAAATGGTGAACGGGATTTTCTTGTACTTCAGCGCGTACCTAACAGTGGTATTAGCGATCACTTCTGAAAGCCAGAAACCTTTAAACATACACAATTCTCCTGACATTGTGAGAATATCCGCCGCCAGTGGTGGAAGGGCCAAGGTCGTACAAGGTGATCATCTCGATGTCTGTGAAGTTTGCGAGGTGCTATAGTGAATGTTTGCCTTTTCCTCTGTTATATAGGCTTTTCTGTGTTCCAGGATCGCATACAAGCATTCAAACACTCACGTGCAAGCGGTGGATTCGGTAGCCTTTTTGGGCAACAAAAAAGAAGATTGGTAAAATTTCGCACAGGAGACGTTGTTCCACGGCCATGGCGGAAGGAACGTGAACACACACAAGACCAGGATGAGATTATCGGCACTTCTCAATGACGTGTAAAGTGCATTCAGGATTGTAGAGGTTTGCCTTGGGAGGTGATCTCAGCGGGCCTCTCGGTAGGTCTGTAGAAGTCTTGTGAGCGAAAATCCACGAGGCATAAGTAAGTATAAGTAAGCGCGTCTCATGCCTTGTCTGTGGCGTCTATCCAGCGGAGATTTGTATCACCGCAAGCCGGTTTCTGACACGTTGCGGTTGCGCTGTGCACAGGATGCCCTAGTCTTCCTAGAGCCCTTTTGTCTAGTCTACCGTCTCCGAAATATCGCGGCACAGTTGCGTTAGTTTGTGGTCAGCATCTGAGAGAACCATGTGCACGTTAGTTAGATTTCCGCCAGTTGTGATATTACTTGGGAATCGCACCATGTTGCGAAACGAAGCTTCTGAGGCTCTGACGGCTACGTAAGAACCAGCAGCCTGAGTGCGGCACCTCGACTAACAGCTTCGATGACAGATGCAGAAATGGCCTGCCAGATTCAATGTTGGTCTTCCAATGAAAAGTGCCATTAGTGAAATAATTTAATCTATGATAAAATTGTCTTACTGTCTTCAAGGGGGAACCCCAAGAAACGAGGACGAAAATACGGCGAATGACGAGCACATCGTGGTTGGCAGCGAAGAAGAAATGTGGCAGTGCTTCCGTGGGCAAAAATTTAGGCGCCGGACATGCGCTTTGATACACGCAAAGGCTCTCCCGAGGCTCTCTTACTCTCCACTCTTTCAAACTCTAGATCTGGCTCAAGCAGATCAAAAATCCGATCTAAAAAACAACGCGCAAGACAAAGGACCCCGTGAGATCCAAAGTTGCCTCCAACCCGAGATTGCCTCTGGATTCAATTGAGATTTAACGGACCGTGGCCTGGAGAAGCCTGGAACGTCTGTTCTCTTTGAATATTTGCGCCTTCTGTTTCTGTTTCAGCCGTATACGATCAAGCGCTATTGCTTTGTTTCTATATGCTCTTCATGATACACAGTTTGAACCCCAATCTCATACGCTGGCACACCAAGCCCTGAGATATCATAGTCAAACGTTCTTCAACCCTTTTCTTATTTCGGTGAGTCAGTACTCGATCGTGCACTTAAAGAAGCAAAGTCAGCACCAACCTTCAACAGATATACCTTTTATCATTCGTAGCAGCTTCCGCATTACGCCTGCACTGATAAAGGTAATCCACAGTATCCTCCTGCCGCAAAAGCACACAATCAGAATAAGCGTCAGCGCAATGGATAGAACAACTCACCGCTGGTACAGGGCTCGCCACAGCAACAGCGAGAAGAGCAGCAAAGAAGATGACGAAAGTGGCTTTCATTATGAATTTGATGATTCGGAGAGGTTCTGATTGCTGGTGAGCGAGTCCGTTGTACCTACCATCTTTTATACGTTTTTTGAATCCTAGTTAAATATAGACAGTCAGCTTCAGAAACCCGGTTAAACAGGACGAGGCCTGAGGCCTGAGGAGTGATACGAACCACATGGAAAATCGCGCCCTAATAATCATCGCTCTGGGCGCTATCTCCCGTTGGTTTCAACTCCAGAGCTCCGGGCAGGGATTCTATACAACCAGGACAGATACGGTCGAAAGATGACCCTGGATCATGATGGATGTTGAACGTTGAACTCTGAATTGAGGAGCCCCTGGAGACAAGGAATTTAAACGCGATTTCAAGAATCAACATGTGTGATATTATCAGTTCTTCAAATTTCAAACCATAGATAAGTAGATTAACGCACAAGTTCATACTCGGATAGCACGAGTGGTGCAAGCTCGCTGCTTGATCTTGCCGTTCCGTTTCTACTTTACGCTGGAATTAGTCTCCCAAGAGGCTAAAAATGTCAGCTTTTCGCTGAGATGATGTGCCCCCTGGCTGGATTGAACAACCGACCTTTCCATCGAACACCAATCCCGAAACGGACGTACGAGTGGAACGCTCTACCACTGAGCTAAGAGGGCGATGACAAGATGACAATAAAGCGTATGATGTGGAGAAATCGATAACTGAATTGTGGAGGTGAGAGCTAAGGAGTGAATGCGTGGATGTGCTGAAGGACTGCTAAAATTGAAGACCTGGAGACCCTGCTATAGCGGTGTTCAGATAAGATCGTGAAGCGAAGGGAGGTAGGCAACATACGTGAAGGAGTACCGTTCATGAGGCCTCCAGGTTGATAATCTCGAGGGACGTGGGACGAGACGACGAACTTGTACAAAACATCTGGGATGATAGCTCCTGCTTGCATGATCCTTCAGTCGAGCAAGGAAAGTATGGAAAAAGGTCCTTGACATACCTGTTGGTCCCCGGGACATAGCAGCCAGGTGGCGAGCAAGACTTTCAGCACCTAGATCTCATTCCAGCCCAGCCGTTCTTTGTAATCTTCAAAATCGACATCTATGATGTCGTGCCTTTAGTAGTCCCCAAAACAGCGAGCTCGACAAAGGACTATTGTGCAGCACCCCAGTATTATACCGCTATCAGTGTCGAGCATCCATCGACCACAAAAACACGCACCGATTACTTTTGGATTATCTATTGCCTTTCATCCCGGAACGCCCTTCGTGGTTCAGCATGGTGATTCACATCTATGACACACAGACTAGTGATGGATTCGAGATACGTTCTCTTCATTCCGTCAAAGGCGAGTCGAGAAATCTGGGTTCAGAGGCGCGTCAATGAGGTGATATGCAAGAAAACGACGGGTGTAAGCATCAATGAACGTCTTGGCTTGGGCGAGCTCAGGATAGAGGGGGAAAGCGCGTCTGCACCATCAAAGCCATTGAGTAGAGGGAAGAGCAACTAGCAGGAGATTACTTACTGTACTGACAGCTTGGCCGGATTCAAAGAAGTCTCTAAAAGTACTTGGGCTAGCGGGCTGGGACGCGGCGAGAAGGGAAGAGAAGGTCAATTGGCATTCTGACGATGGAATGATGGCGGTAAGAGGAAAACACTGGAAAAAGAGGAGGCGTGATTCTGAACGCGGTGACACGTGTTCCGTTCGGTGGAACGCCCAGTTGCACTGAGTCGCTCGGTTTCTAATCTATCGGTTCGCGACTTAGGCAAGTAATGGCTTTGAGTGTGATACCGGCGGATTTCCGTGAACTAAACTATTACATGGGTACTAACAATCTAGGGCTCAGAACCAACAGTCTATGGCAGAAGCTCAAGAAGGGTTCGACCGTTTGAGCAGGTCGGAGATACACCGTTGCTGACTGGAAGCCGAGAATTCGAAGATGAAAACTGCGTCCGACGACGAAGCTGGATTGAGCGCGAATAAATGCAAGTTCCTGCGTGTGGTCTTGGTGCCTGCTGCGGGAGGCCAATGGGAGTGAAAAACACCGAACTCTATACATCTCTTCGAACAACACATTCCACAGGTGATTGAGGAAGGGGTCGTATGTGGGAAGGCTCTAGAGCTTGCTGGGCGAAACCAAAGGTGACCGGTTGTCCGACGAGAAAACATACTCTTCTGTTGTGTATCCTCGGAGAATAGCGCGAGCATAGGTAGCAGGAATAGTCGCTGTAACCTACAGCGTAACCCTTTCAGTTTCCAGCCCAAAGCAACGACACGGAAACTCACAATTAGTTTATCCTCCGGTTGTCCCTAACGCTTCAGAGAGCAATATCGCGTGCGAGTTGCAGGAAAGGTACACTATCCACGATGTTTGAGCTTGTCGACCATCTCTGGAATTTGAAAGAGGACCAAATGGCAGATCTGTGTCAAACTGTGTCAAAGGGGAAAAAAAAGAGAACGTCGGGCCACTGAGCTAAGGCTGTCACCCGTCACGTCAAAAAGTCTGCGTGACGTAGCGTGATCTGTGACACCTTCTAGCTCTCCCGGTTCCGGATTTTCCCATTCATGTTCATAACCACCAGTGGACAGGTGTGGACCCTCTGGCCTTTCGGCCTTTTCAAAGAGCTCCAAAGTCGGGAACAAGTCGGAAATGCGAAAGCCGCCACCATCGATGTGCTCATCGATATCGTTGTCAAATTCGGGGTAAATTTGTTGGAAGAGATAAGGAAATGGCGGAGGAATTCATTCGCGAGATAAGGACTGCTCACCATGCGGAAAGATAAGGTATGTATTTGCCTCTTATCTCTGACAAGTTCAAAGCGATGCCGATCCCTGAGAGAGGTTCCTGAACTTCTCCAGCTCTATCTTATCCAGCCTTCTCGCTCACATTTATCTTATCACATACAGAACTCCTCGAAAAGACAGCTTTGACCCCCTGGAACGAAGAAACGAGCAAAGATTCTCAAAGTTGAACGTCACGAAAATCAAATTCATCCACCAATCCGATCGGCCGACGATGTCCTAGGTGACGGACTGGTGACGGTTCTTCGTCATTCCGACCTCCGCAATTATTCCTGATTTGCCCTTGACAGTCCACTTTGACCGCTTCGGGGAAAGTATGACTCGAGAGCCTTGGCTATAAGAAGGGGCTACTTTTTTGCCATGTCTTCACCGACTTCAGGTCTGCCCTACAACTCTCTTCTCACACCCTACAACTACCTCACACCTCGCAAAAAATGGTCCTTCCACACGAACCCGAGTTCGAGCAGGTACGCGTTTTTTCGATGCGCTGCTTTCTCTCGAGATTAACACTCACGCGACCAGGCCCTCGAAGAGCTCACGCAGAGTTTGGGTCCTTTCCTCAAGGCCAACCCCCAATACCAAAAGGCTTTGGACATCGTCCAAGTGCCAGAACGCGTCATTCAGTTCCGTGTGGTCTGGGAAGACGATCAGGGTGTTCCCCAAGTCAATCGTGGATTCCGTGTCCAGGTATGTCTCTGTTCTCAATCAAGTGTTGCTTCTCGCTTACCATGATTCGTTATAGTACAACTCCGCTCTTGGCCCCTACAAAGGCGGTCTCCGTCTTCACCCCTCTGTTAACCTGTCTATCCTCAAGTTCCTCGGCTTCGAGCAAACATTCAAAAACGCTCTCACTGGCCTCAACATGGGTGGAGGCAAAGGTGGATCCGACTTTGACCCCAAAGGTAAATCCGATTCGGAAATCAGACGGTTCTGTGTTGCGTTCATGTCCGAGTTGTCGAAGCACATCGGACAGGATACGGATGTTCCTGGTATGTGATCGCTCTGTCTTGTCTTGAGTTCATTCTAATCTCGCGCTCGTATAGCCGGCGATATCGGAACTGGAGGTCGTGAGATTGGTTTCTTGTTTGGAGCGTACAAGAAGCTTCGTAACGAGTTTACTGGTGTACTCACTGGCAAAGGCCTTCACTGGGGTGGAAGTTTCATTCGACCAGAGGCTACTGGTTATGGTGTTATCTACTACGTTGAGCACGTACGTTTAGCTCTTCAACTCATCATATTCCTGTTCCTAACTGTGATTTCAGATGATTGCAAAAGCTTGCCCCGAATACAGCCTCAACAAGCCCACTACACTCGTCGCCATCTCCGGCTCTGGCAACGTCTCGCAATACACCGCGTTGAAGGTTATCGAGCTCGGCGCTACCGTGCTCTCCTTGTCTGACTCAAAAGGCTCTTTAATCGCCACTACCGAAAAAGGATTCTCGAAGGAGGTCGTTGAGCGGATAGCTGAGCTCAAGTTGAAGGGTGGCTCGTTAGAGTCGTTCAAAGACTTTGCTTCTGAATCAGAGTACAAGTACTACCCTGGTATGTGGTTCAACATGGGCTATGCGTAATACTGAGATTGAGGATATGCTCGATAGGTAAACGCCCGTGGACGCTTCTTCCCAAGATCCACATCGCGCTTCCTGGCGCTACTCAGAACGAGGTTTCGGGTGAGGAAGCCCAAGCACTCATTGCGGCCGGCACAAGAATAGTAGCTGAGGGATCCAACATGGTATGTAGTCCTCTGCATTGGTAACCCGCCATACTTATAGCGTTTTGTAGGGATGCACGTTAGAGGCCGTCGAGGCATTCGAAAAGTCTCGTAAAGAAGGTGCTGGCAAGGGTGTTTGGTACGCTCCTGGAAGTGCGTATATCTCTTCCTTGATGCATTCCTCGATCTGACCGCCAGTTTTGCAGAGGCATCCAACTGTGGAGGAGTCGCTGTCTCAGGTCTTGAGATGGCGCAAAACAGCCAACGGCTGAACTGGACTTCGAACGAGGTCGATCAAAAGCTCAAGGATATCATGGCCGAGTGCTATAGCGTGAGTTCTTGGCTTTGTTGTTCTCTTCGTGTTTTGCTAATTCCCTTGTACAGACATGCTTGAATGCTGGAAGCAAATGGTCGGGCGAAGAATCTTCAGAGGGTGTTCTTCCCAGTTTATTATGCGGAGCGAACGTGGCAGGATTCATCAAGGTTGCAGACGCGATGAAGGAGCAGGGTGACTGGTGGTAGACGCGATATTCATAGCACTTGTAAGATATTGGTATACCCATGTACGATTTTGTTGTTAGATTAGAATACTAGACGGTGAGGTGGTTGGTGCAAGTTGACAAGCGAAAGGAATCAACCGAACACTGCTTCCATCGGTACTATAACATCCAGAACATCTTAGAATATCTTTCCTTCCATGACTGTAGAAAATTTACTCTCGCAGGCGTAGACCTATGTATACGATTGATGACAGAATAGAGTACGAGGCGTTTTAGTTCACAAGCGGAATGAGTTTGCCGAACTTGCTGAAAAGGGCAAAGATCCTTAGTCATACGTCATCTTCAAGATGACTCGCGATGAAAATCTTGTAGCAGAACAACCTCAGAGTGTATCCAGAACGGTCAGTGCAAGTATCATTGATCTGGCGTACGGTCTGATAATATCCTTTCTATTGCATAGATACTGCACCGTGACTCTCAGAGTACCGCCAACCACCAACGTCATCCTGGGCTTGTCTCTCGCTCTGTAAAGGCTGGCAAATTAGCTACCAATGGCAAAGGGCGGCGGGAAATCGTCTGCGTCATCTGGTACACGCAAAAAACATGCACGAAAAGCTGCAGCAGGTCGAGGAGAAGAGTCGGAACCCCCTCAAA